ACATTTTAAACACGCTTCCCTGGAGGGGCAGAGTCACTGACCTGGTGGGATGAGGGGAGGTGGTGGGTTGTTAAGTGGGAAACAGAGCAGTGGAGGCATTTCTGCTTTCCCACCCAGGACACTCAACCACAGAGAGATAAGAGTAGGATGATGAGACAGAACAGAACCTGAGCTTTGGGGTCTGGCAGCCAAGGTTCAACTCTCAGCCTAATCACTGAGGGAGTGTGAACTACGTCGAAGGTCGCATGGTTTCATCATCACATAATGACGACACCACCCAGCTCCTCTGCTCACTGCTAAGACATCTCAGTGGCTTGGGCAACATGAGCACCCACAGCTCACACACTGGCCTTCCTCTGCCAGCTGTGGTCCCTCACAAGGGCACTCGGCTCCTATGTCGCCCCCACTGCAGGGTGAGGGGGCTAGTAAAAGATTCCAGAACATCCGAACAGAGCCACAACAGGCCTAATCAGATCACAACCCTGCCCCAATCTCAACCCGACAGCCAGCATGAGACGAGGCAGTGCAGTCAGACAGACACGCCTCCTCTCCACTGCTTCCTTCCTTCACGAGAAAAATCACAGAAATCTCTGCTTCTCAACTCTCACATATTTCCTCACTTTAGAAGTAAATTTCTGAAGTTCTTGTCTATTGGATGCTTTATTAATTTTCATAAGATGTTATATGTCAATTTATCTCAATAAAACTGGAGAAAATCAAACAATAACAAATGAAACTTAGTAAGACAATATACAGATTCACCTCAAGCATCCTTCGTGGGTCACTTGAAAATTGTCCTAGTTTTAAAGTTGTAACCGTCATTACAAAAATGTTAGCTATTGAACGAGGAGACAAATTATAATTTTAACCCACTGATTAAAAGAGTTTTAAAATCTGTACCCAAAGTACTCTTGAAAGTTATCACTATTTCTTACAGAAAACGGATTTGTAGACTCATTTTTTAATCAACTCTGAATTTTTCTCAGAATTCTCTTACAGTTTTTGGATGCAAGAGTTAGATATGAAATGATTTGTAACTATGCCATATGGAAAAGAACACCCCGTTTTGCCCTTATGTGTTTCAGATTTCGCTGGTACAGTTTCTCCTCGAAAAGTGCCTCCAGCTTTGGGGAGAAGACGTCCCTTCCCTCTGGGGAGAGCGCGCAGTCATTCTTGACGAAGGTGACATCACTAGTGACAGGGAAGAGGCTGCAGGATGTGGGAACCATGTAACTGGCTTTGGTGAGAAAGGCAGCAAGGCTGACAGGGCTCATGGGAGATGCTCAGACAGTGCAGTTCTGGAGCCCAGATCACATCCCAAGAGCAATGATTTCCACCTGCTCCAGGTCAGGGTGGGTTTCATACCATCGTGAGACCAAAGAAAGGATGAGGCAGGTCTGGCTTCAGGAAGATGCTAGTACAGCATTAGGAGATATCAGGGTATAATACAGTGTTTGGAAATTTTTCCAAACAAAACTTTAAATGGGACTCATATATATCAGATGTGCTCAGGCTGAAACTAGAGGGGCCCAGAGCACTGCCTTGTTTGTTTCCCATCCCCTGTTTTCCTGCTTAATAGTACCTAAGGTACCACAGTTTTTCAGTGCCTTTGAAACAGGTTGAAAAGAACCTGCATCAATGAGGAAAAACAGGACTTGGTTTGATGTGAAACCACCTTTCCATTCTGTCAGCTCCTGGGCCCCTGTTCACCAGCTGTGTTAACTCTGGCCAGTTATTTTAGCTCACTTTCAGTTCCCTCATCTCTAAAATGGGAATAAAGACAACATCTAAATTTTAGGATTACTGTCAAAATTAATCATGGATGTAAACTAAATATGTAAAAAACCAATTGCTGGAGCCAGCAGAAGCTCCTCCGAGAACTCTGAGCTAGGACTGTCTGAGCCTAGGTCAACAGCTAATTGGCAGCAGTGCATTTCATAAGGATGAGATTAGATTCAGAACCTGGGGACACGGGTCATGAGACTCTTTGAATTTGGGGGGGCAGGTAATTAGGTTTGTTTGTTTGTATGTTTGTTTGTTTTTCATGTTAATGGAGGTACTTGGGCTTGAACCCAGGACCTCATGCGCAGTAAGCACGCACTGAACCACTGAGCTATAAGCCTCTCCCAATCACTTTGCAGTTATGACATTTTTTTGGTTTTAAGACATTTATCTCACTGCTTTCAGGAAATCTTTAGGAAAATCTACTTAATCAGGAATTTAGTTGAGTCTAGTACCTGAGAATGTGCTTTACTAAGATAACTGTTTTTGAATTCATCAGTGATAACAGGACAACCCCGTGAATCAATGAGAATGACAGTGGCAGTCATTCTCAAAAATCCACAAGGACAGTACGAGGCCAAGGGCCCATCTACCACAGGTCTGCGTACATGCCTGTCCACGATTTTGGAAGTCCCCGAAGAACAGAAATGGCCCTAATCACATTTCACCCTTCCTCTCTTCTATCTTTATTCCACACATATTGTTTCACTTTTCTTCCTCCTCTACTCTGCATGTTTACCATGATTTATTAAGAATGCGTTAGAGAACTACTTTATTTGCTTATGGCCCATGTTAACCCCTTGGTGGAGGCGCATCGGGGCAGTCTGCGGTCTCAACTAAGGTCACTTCTGCACCTGCAGCCAGCGGGCGGCGCAGCTGGGGCTGACTCACGTGTCTGTTGCTTGGCGCTGGCTCTAGATGGAGCCCCATCTCTTCAGCAAGCGAGCCTGGCCTTCTTCATAAGGTGGAGGAAGAGTTCCCAACAGCAAGATGCTTTTCGTGAGTCCATGTAGGGGAGGGCTGCACAAAGGACCACAAAGACAATGAGTTACTCATCACTTCCTGAGGGCTATGACTGTCATCAACCACACATGATACTCAAAACTTGAGACAGCATTCCTACCACACACCTACTCTTCTTCATGAGTTGTTAACCCTCTGTTCTTTAGATGAGCATTTTCCATAGGATATTAAGAAGTTTGGTAAGGAGTATCTTTGAAATAATCATTGATTTTTCACCCCCACATATTTCTTGCCTCTATCTTTCTCCCTGTCTTAAGCTGTCTTAAGAGACACATCATTTCCTCAGAGAACAGAAGCTACAGAAGAATATGAGGAATAACAGAGCTGTTTGTTGCCTATGAGTTTTAAACATTCAGTTTTGTAGAAAACAAAACCAATCCATGGCATAAAGATTTAGGTGGAAATTTCATGGGGAAAGCCCAAAACAACGAGATGTATAGGACATGTGCACCATTTCCTGCATAGAAAACAAGAGGAATCAGGAAGCCCTCACAGAACTGCTAAATCGCATCTCTAAGACCGAGCCTGGTAGAGTCACACAGAACTTCTTGCACCTCAGCATGGAACAGATCAGTGAAATGATTCCATCAATCTGAGTATAGTAGGGAAGGAATAAAGTCACTGGATTTGTTGAGATAGGTCTCAGCAACAGCTGTGCAGGCCAGCTCCCCAGGACCAGACAGCAACTAGGACAGCTCAGCAGGTGCCCAGTGTACGCAGATGACACAGAGGGCCAGGGAAGCGCCATTCCACCACCATCGAACTCCTTGGCAGTAGAAGACTGCAAAACACAGGCACACTCATGGGGAAAATGGAGAGACCTTGCATTGCTACCAATTTGGGAACAAAGAATTAAGCTGTAAATCACGTAAGTTATTTAAAATTATAGACCAGTACCCATCTTACATATATCAGTTTGTAGACAGACTGGCCCAAGTATATGGAATTCATGATCCATGCCTTATTTTCCTAGAAAGGGTTCCATGGTCAAATAGGTTTGAGAAATGCTATTTTCCTTTTGGACATCAAAATGCCTATTAATATACTAATGTCTTAAAGAACCACAGTAAAGAAACCCAGTACTTTCCCCGTTGATTTGACCTGGGAGATTCTTTTGAAGAAACTCTGTTGATGAATGGTCCTGGGAACACATAGTAGTAAACACTGCTCTCAATTTATCTTAAGTCATAGATTTTACTCTTTCACTCACCTGCTCAAAAACCTTCAGTGAGTTTCCATGGATCTTCAGGTTTTTTTTTTTTTTCAGGAAAATTTCTTTTTTAAGAGCCTCCACAATGAAACCTGCCCTAGTCATCAGTTTTCACTATTTCCCTGTGTAGCTCCTTTCCTTGAGCTAGGTCAAACGCTTCACTTTCCTGAACAAGACACACTCATGTTTCTAAGCACAATTCTCAACTCCCCGTGGTCTCTACAGACCCACAAACTAGGTGGCCATTTGGGTTCTACTCTCCCAGAAATGTCACAAAGCTGCCCCTGACCGTTCCAGCTCAAATTAGCTGTTCTTTGATAATGCACGAGCAGTTCGCTCTGTTAGAAGCTGGTTCCTACGGTGCTTTGCACCATCAGGAGTTACGCTAGTATGCTCATACACCATTCAACAAATTCAAATTCCTGTGGTAAATGATTGTATTTGTTAGTTTTATGTTAGTTTCAGTGGCTGGCTAAATGCCTACCCCTAAAAATGGATGAATATGTGCACTTTTCTGAGTGTAGGAACTTTACATACATCGGTAACGACTGCAAAGTTCAAAGCTAAAGAGGTAGAACACAGCACACATGGAATTTCACCGGGGGGCAGTAAGACATCAGTTTCACTAAATAAGTTTGTTAGAGAGCACATCACAGTATTTACTATTCACAAGTCCTGGAATACACTGTTTTTATTCATCATGGAAAAAAATGAGATATTGGTGTGATATACTTGGGAAGAATTGCACGCGTGTGTGAAATTTCTTTTAAACAGCAACAATTCCATAATCGAAGGGACAAAAAACATGGCTGGACAATGCACCTGTCAGTTGTTGAGCCAAGACATGCAAAAGTCCCTCAAATTTGAGAAGGAGATAGAACAGTAGATAAAGAAAAGCTGAAATTCCCCTAATTTGTCCAATGCAACGCCTACAGGACATTCTCGCCATGGGAAAATGGTTAAGAAATGTTCGTTTTACCCTCAGGGTACTCAAACACATCATTGAGAAAGTCAATTTACTACTTTTTAGAAAAGACGGTTGGAACTGATAAACTGTAAAAGGACCAAATTGTCTAACCTAGAATGAACACAAGGCAGTTAGACTTTCTGTTATCTGTCTTTATCATTGCTGGTAAGATCTGTGTAATCTTCAATCAACCTGCACTTACTAGTGTAAATAAGGTTAAGTATTTTCAAAGGTAAAGCAAAGATACTGAGGATGAAAAGCTTATTTTATTTATTCCAGAAAAAAAAGCTACTCATAGGCTATCTTTATTTGAGAAAACTAATTCTCTCCATGGTCATTAATTACTATGATATATTGAATGGAATATATACATGTTCCATTCAACATATACATATTTATATGCTACAAAATATATATTATACATAAATATATATATTTACACACTCAATTTTATATTCCATAAAAGCAACCTGAAAGAATTTGAAGGGCAGAGTATACAGTTGTACAAAAAGCCACCTTTCAGAACACATTAGGCGATGTCTTTCCTATTTCTCTGTAACTCCTATGCTAGTCAAACGAGCCACTAAGCACCCTAAAGATCTGTAATGAAGGGTGCCTCTCTTTGCTACTTTTATGCTTTTCATGTCCACAGCATAATCGGTGCTAGGAAGAAACTGATTTTTTTGGCCTTGGACCTAAATGTCACTATGCATTTGGTTGGCTTAGCCTTCCCAAAGAATAAAATCATCCCTTTGTCACGTCAAAGAAACTACTAGAAAACAAAATAGTCAGAGGAGAGTTATAATTTCCTACAATGGAAAAAGGACCTACCTTGTGAGAATGGGAGTTTTTCCAAATTATAAAGGAGTCAGATCAGTGGGGGGGGCGGCGGGAGGCACGGGCACCAGCCCGCTCCGGCCCCGCAGGGCGCGGGCGACTCCGAGA